AACCAAAGGGGTTCATAGATCCTAGTTTTCCAAATCATGTTTAAAAATTAAGGAAAACTCTTTATGGATTGAAACAAGAACCTAGGGCATGGTATGAAAGGTTAATTGAGTTTCTTGTCCATAATGATTATAGAAAAAAAAAGGATAGACAAGACCTTGTTTGTTAAAGAATAGCATGGTTAACTCATGATAGCTCAAATATATGTTGATGAAATTTTGTTTGGAGGGATGTCAAACCAGATGGTCCAACATTTTGTCAAGCAAATGCAACCTGAATTTGAGATGAGTCTTGTTGGTGAACTAACTTATTTTCTTGGTCTTCAAGTTAAACAAATGGATGATACTATATTCATTTCTCAAAGCAAGTATGCTAAGAATATAGTAAAGAAGTTTGGCTTAAAAAATGCTAGTCACAAAAGGACACCTGCTGCAACACACTTGAAATTAACTAAGGATGAAAAAGGTGTTGATGTGGATCAAAGTTTATAACGGAGTATGATTGGTAGTCTATTATATCTTACAACTAGAAGACTAGACATCACTTTTCCTGTAGGAGTTTGTGCTAGATATTAGGCTGAGCCTAAAATGAGTTACATTACTCAAGTAAAAAGGATCTTGAAATACATCAATGGTACTAGTGATTATGGCATGTTGTATTCTCATAGTTCAACTTCCTTGTAGGGTATTGTGGTGTAAACTGGGTAGGTAGTGCTGATGATAGAAAAAGTACTTTTGAAGAATGTTTCTTCTTGGAAAACAATCTTATCTCTTGGTTCAGTAAGAAGCAAAATTGTGTGTCTTTGTCTACAGCTGATACTGAGTATATTTCTGTAGGAAGCATTTGCTCTCAATTGATTTGAATGAAACAAATGCTAACAAAATATAATATCGAACAAGATGTCATGGCATTATATTGTGACAATATGAGTGCAATCAACATATCCACGAATACCATCCAACATAGCATGACAAAGCATATTGACACTCGTCATCATTTTATTAGGGATCTTATTGAGGACAAAATTGTTACTCTTAAGCATGTGGCCACTGAGAAGCAACTGAAAGACATATTTACTAAGGTTTTGGATGCAAATCAGATTGAGAAGTTAAGGAGAAAATTGGGAATTTGCACGTTTGAGTAGTTATAACAACTATAGGAATGAGGGAGTGCAAAAGATACTTTCTGTTACCTCTATTTAGTGGTGAATCTTATTGAGGGTGCTGGTTTGATGAAGAATGTTGTTGGTTTTGGTGACTGCTATGAGATGTTGGTGAAGAAATTCATTGTACACATTTCTGAGGTCCGTGACAATAAGATGATCAAGGAGTATATAAAGGTTCATGATAAAGGTTAATGTGTGGAGTTTTCTATTAAAATTATCAACAGGTTTATGGGTAGGAACGAGGAGGAGCAAGCTGAGGTGGAAGTGACAAATAAGGTGTTTGCAGTACCCTGATATTTTGGCCAGTTCTGATATTGCATGTAGGAAGGAATCTCCTTTTTCTTTGCATTATAGATTGTTTGTAGGGACACATGTCCTAGAAATTGTTGTGACATATGGTAAGGTGGTGATAAAGATGAGAAAACAGATAACAGTGTTGTCATCTGTTGTGTCATGTTTTTTATTGCTTATGTATCTGCTACATAGGTTATTTTTGCTCCTAGTGAATGTATGGTTATTTTGTCTAAATTATGGCCAATAAGGGGGAGTAGTTGGTAGAATTTATTTATGCTTGATCTGACCTTAAAGGGGAGTAGTAGTTTTTGCTGCTGATCTGGTATTTATGAGGAGCATGATGTTTGACTAGAGATAATTTTGTTTCTCTGTCTAATGTATAGTTGCATGTAGGGTCATACCCGATGTCTTGTAGGGATGGCAACGGGGCGGGGCGAGTTTTACTATACCCGCACTCGCACCCGCTTCCATGTAACACACCCGCCCCCGCCCCCAAACCCAATCGGGGGTAAAAATTTACCGCCCAGATCCGCCCCTAATAGAGAACGGGTGCACCCGCACCCGCCCCGCCCCCACCCGAAAAAAATTAATTTTTTTTTAATTGCAATAAAAATTAATAATTTAATTAAAAAAATTGATTATTTTAATAAATTAATTAATTATTTAATTAAAATTTTAATTATTAAATGAATATTAATTTAATTATTTTAATTATAATAAAGATATTAATAATTTAATTAAAAATATAATTAATAAATGAATATTAAAATAAGTAAAATAAGAGAATTAAACTAAAATGCATTATTCGGGGGCGGTGCAGGCAGGTCTTAGTGTCTCCCCGCACCCGTACCCGCACCCGTAATTAAAAGTCGGGTTTTCTCCGCACCCGCACCCACTCAAACCGGGTTTTCCCCGCTAATTTCGGGGCGGGTCCCGAAGGGTTCGAGTTTTTTTGCCATGCCTAATGTCTTGACATCCTGTCTGAGAGAATTTATTTTTCTTTACAGAAAATTTCTTTTTTGAGAGTTTATTTCTCTCTGATGTTGTGCTCTGTGAGGCTGAGTGTATCTTATTCTGTTGCGTATGCCTCTGATGTATCTTGGAGAAGTTCCAAATTTGTTTATTGTGCATTTTTCTTTGAAGATGTTCTCTTGAGTTTATTGGTTGTTACATGATATGTTTTGCAAAGGTTGTTTTAGCAAAAAAAAATTAATGGGGGAGATTGTTAGGTTGTATGCTTGGTGATTGGCTGCATTTTGTTAAAATAAGTATTGTAGCGAGATGTTGTGACATGTTGGTGCGGTTCTGAAGCAAATCTGGTTTCGTGTTTTCGGAAGATTTGGTTTTATTAGTGAAAATTCTTTGAAGATTTGTTTCACAAATTCTGCGGCCCAATGAGCATGTGTTTTTAGTTGCAAAGGTCGACTTTACCTTTACAATGTTTCTTAAGAAATGATGACATATCATTTAAGAAAATATGATATTTGATTTGATTTGTTTCTGCATAAGATTTGATTTGGATATAAACTTTAGAAAATAATACATTATGGATCTACATTTAATAATATATTATTTTCTAGAATATTATGGATTTTCTATTTAATTTAGCCTGATTCGCTCATCAAGTCCATACTTTTTCAAATGCTATTTATTAAAAGACTCTAGACCTAAAGTGTAGAGAGGACAATCGTATTTTTGTGAGAGTTTTGGTTGTTCATTGTTATTTGTGAACCACTCTTATATTACCTTGATACTAGGGGTGAACTGTTTATGCAGAGTTGTAATTGTTTACTTTATCATCATTGTTGTGTGATTGAGGGAGAGTGGGAGAGATCTCATATCTAAAAGTATTTTAAGATGGAAGATCATATACCACATCTATCCTCTTAATATTAGAATTTCATATATATATTTGAGGTGCAAGTTAAAGAATCAAATACAAAAATCATTTTAAAGTCAAAATATCATATTATTAGACAATAATTTTTTATTTTTGGATTTTTTAAATTTTCTTTTAGAGGCCAAATTAATAATACTTTATTTTTAGATGGACTATTGTTATCTAAAGTATAATAGATGGTTAATTTTAAATCATACGTCGACATAATTTTATATTTATTCACTTTGTATAATTTTCAATTTTACTATCTTTGCAATTAAATAAGATTAAAAATTTTATGGTTTTATATTTGTGAGAATTTTTGGATTTCAATAATGAAATTTTTTATTTAATATAAAAATAAAATATTTACAAATACAAATAAAAAACACATTAAAAGAAGATAATCTCATCTAAAAATGAGAATTAGACATATGTTCAAAATAGGATATTTATAAGCTGTCAATAATTTAATTGTAACAACAATATAAACTAATACTTAAAAAAAGAGATAAATGAAATTTGTACTTATAAAATATTTTTCATGATATTTTTAGTAACTAACTGATAATACTCTCAACAATATCTCTCATATCTCTCATATCTCTAATGTTAAATCACTTAACTTTTAACTTTCTACATATTAAAATGTTAGTTTTTTTTTTACAATCTAACATTAATTTAATTAATATAAATTTATATAAATAAACTATAATTACTAAATTTATATTTATCATAATAATCATCACATTAATTTTGGATTAGGACTATGAAATCATCTTAAGAAATACAAGAACAGACAATAAGTAATTTTTAAATAACAATATTATATAATGTTAATTTTTGTTTTTTCACTTCATAATATTATAAGTTACTTTTTTTAATTTACCTCTTTTTTTTCTTCTAGGAGTCAATAAAATTATTATTATAATAATCATTATAAATTAAATAAGATATAACTTTTTTTTTGCAATTTAAATTAATGTTTTTTAATATTTTTTTAGAAGTGATTACATTTAAACTTATACATTGTAATACATGTAAAATAAGTATCTAAAAATTATATTAAAATTTTATATTAATAATTAACAAATTAAATAATTAAAAGTTAAACTAAACATAATTAAAGAAAAATTTCTACTAATAGCCACTTAATAGATGATAAATGGCAAACTTACCAAATAACTAGCCTATTGCAAACAAAATTTAATACACGAATATTACATATTGCAAATAAAACTTAATATGTATCTGAATAACTACAATATATTTTATCGTATAAATATTTTATATTAAAATCAAACTTACAAAAAAAGACATATCAATATTTTCACGCATTAGCGCGGTAAAAAAAAGTGGACAAACGGGGTTTGTATAACAAACATTAAATTTTTTTTAAGGAAAACATTGTATAACAATTTATTTAATGTTATTTTAAATTTGTAGTATATTTGTTTAGTCCACCATTGGAGTTGTATGATGACACGCAGTTACATTACATGGATCTATACCATACAAACCATTGGTTGCTTTCTCATCCAAAAACCAAAACCAGATAAGAAGATAAGCCCACGTGGCAAAATCTCTAACTCACTACTTCATCCTTTCTCTCCAACCCAACACAAAATCTCTCCCAATTTCTCTCCAATTCTCCCAACACCACCATGGCATCACCAACACTCATTACTCCAACTTCCACACCCAAATCACTACCACCCATCAAAACCAAACCCACCACCATCTCAGCCACCTTATCACCACCCACCACCTCCACCACCGTACACCACCGCCGCCGTGAGTTTATCTCCACCACAGCCTCCATCCTCACCACCACATTTCTCGTTCACGTCACCCCTGCATTCGCTGCTTCAGATGAAGAGTACGTGAAGGAAACAGAGGAGGTTATAAGCAAGCTGAGAACAACCATAACAATGGATAAGAATGACCCTAATGTGGCTAATGCAGTTGCTGAACTAAGAGAGAATTCAAACTCATGGGTTGCTAAGTATAGAAGGGAAAAAGCACTTCTTGCAAGAACTTCTTTTAGGGATATGTACTCTGCACTCAATGCTGTTTCAGGGCATTACATTAGTTTTGGACCTACTGCTCCTATTCCTGCAAAACGAAGGGCGAGGATTTTAGAAGAAGTTGAAGTTGCTGAGAAATCGCTTAAAAGGGGAAGATAAAGTAACTTCTGTATTTGGAGGAAATGAATTTTGGTTTTCATTCCTCTGTTTCTGTTATTAGATTCTCACTGTTTTTTCTTTGTTGTTCAATGTTTGGTTTTTGTATTGTTGTATGTATCGAAAACTTTAATTACATGAAGAGGCATACTTTTTCTGTTAATAAAAGGAGAAGATTATGAATAGTTGCATATGGAGAGTGAAAGTGAAGAATGTGTTTTTTGCTTTGTTTTTTGAATGGACTGATTGAGGTTAGTTATTAAGTGTTTATGCCTTTGAATGGTGAATGATTAAGTGCTTTTTGGAATTGCTTATAGGGTGTGCGATAGAATAACTTCGTTTCAAACTCATACAGTTCTACTTGCACAGAGCCACATCAATTGTTGTTAGAGTTTAGAATGAACTTGATGCTATCCAAGACCATACGAGACTGGGTTAAATTACTCTCTCGAACTCTTGTTATAATAGTGTTGTAAATTGGAGTTCATGAATTTTCTTTGGAGAGTCCTGTTGTACTTGAGTTATTAAGGTTTGAGAGAAGTCAATGTGTTAATATGTGCCCCAAGGGCACATGTTAAGGAAACCACTTTTAGTAAATTTGTATTGGAAAAAACAGTTTAAAAATTAATTTTATACTTTAATTTAAATTTGTACACAATTTCCAAGATGATATTTTTTAATTTAGTTCTTAACATGTGCCCCAAGGGCACAAGTTTACATTACCCATATTTTTTTTTCAAATAGTGTTACTATTATGTTGTTATTAGACAAAGGTTTTGAATTCTTTGATTTTAGAGATTTTTGCATTATGTTTTTATATTTGATTATATTTTTATATTTGATTATGTTACTCTCTCCCTCTTACAATGAGTGATCTATTTAGAATAAAATAGTGTCTTAAAATGTATGATCTATTTTAATTTCCAATGCATTTTTTTCCTTCTATTTTACTTTCTAATTAATACTATTTTCATCATTTCCAATACATCATAAGAGTACTTTAGTAAAATACTATTCTCTCTTTTATTTATTTCTTTTTCCTTAATCTGTGTAAAAAGTCAGTTGGGTCACTCATTGTAGAACGAAGAAAGTATTTAATTTGTCTATAGTTTTACCATTCACAGTTGAAGTGAAGATATGTGGGTTCAAATATGGAGTTGATTGTAAAATGGAAAATGACCGATAATCAAGAGAATGATAATGGGGAGATTAACAATCACAACAACATCAATCAAAACCACAAGAACAATAAGAGTGAAAGAATGTCTTCTTTCAACAATCCAAGGAGACTAGAGATTTTTAAATAGCCACTTAATTGATGGTTCAATTTATATATTTAAGTACTAAAAATAACAATTATCACATAATTTTTAAATATAACTTTGCATTATATAATATACATAATTGTATCATATAGAAAAAACTATTCATTTTATTTTTTTAATAAATATTTTTAAATAAAAATGGGCTTAACAATAAATTTAGTATAAAAATTAAATTTGTATATAAAACTATAAATTTGAAATTCAAATTCAAATTAATAAGGAAAGAAAAATAATTCTAGACAATTCCAAATCAATTCAATAAAAATCATTTTTACAAAAATTATCAAAAATCCATTTTTAAATATTTATTGTAAACTGATTTTATGAGATCCAAATCTCAAATTTAATTTATAATAAAAGAAGTATAATATTCTTAAAATTTTACTATTTAAAAATTTTATTATTAAAAAATATTTTATTACTGTAAATAAATTTAAAAAAACTCAAGAATTGATTTCCGTTGAACTAAAAATGTATAGTAAAAAGTAGGACTGGACATCGGTTTGAGTTCGGGTCCAAAACTCCAATCCGGCCCAACCCTCGGTGATATATATTAGTCCAATTACACTAATTCATCTATCGGTTTTTTCGAATTAGTGTTTTTTCGGTTCGGTTAATTAGATAAATTTTTTTCTTCGATTTTAGCTAATGGTTAGGCCAATACAATTTTATAATTTTTTTTTTTTTACATTTTTCAATTCAATTAATTAGGCTAGTTTTAGTCTATATTTGTACTCTATTACTTGACCCGTTAAAATTTTATGACACTTAATTTGTGAATTTTTTTTCTCATTATTCAATTTAGCTATTTTGAGTCATTATTCATTCAAAACAGAACAATCCATTTTTTAAGAAAGTAGTACTTTTGAGAAATTCATTAAACAAATTTAAGATAGAAATTAGTATTTAGAAAAATTCATTAAACAAATTTAAGATCCTAAATGAATTAAAATTTTCACCTCAAGAATTTCAAATAGTGTAATATGAATATAATAAATTGAGTATTTATTCGACACAGCTTATGATCATATCATATTTGCATTGCCTAAATCATAAGAAATGAAAGTATCATGTTCCTCCTCGATTCCCTCTTCTAAATTTATCTAGACACTTTTTTTATTAACAGTTAACAATATTATCACAAATTATTTATTCATACGACTCATTTACGAGTTTACTAGATGCATAATTTGCATTTTTGAACATCCAAAATTACTATAGATAATGTCACATCAATAAAGATTTATGATACATGTATAGGATGTACTCAATGTGTCCGAGTCTGTCCCACGTATGTATTAGAAATGATACCTTGGGGTGGATGTAAAGCTAAACAAATAGCTTCTCCCCCAAGAACAGAGGATTGTGTTGGTTGTAAGAGGACACCAAAGGCATATGCCCTTCCATCCCTAATCTTCGTCACCCTTTCCCATGCCAATAACTAGAATAAAAAAAAGGAGAATGTCAATGCATCTGGGAATAAACGATTGATTTCGATCAAGAGACCCGCTAGAGTCGCGAACCATAAAGTACTTGCCACTGGTGCCACAGAGAGATATGTTTTTAGATCTCGCATTTCTAATCCTCCTTCGTCTTTTTTATTAATAAAATCACTTGGATTTGTCGGGGGGAAGTCCGAATCCAAATTGAATTGTACAACAATTCATTAGATATTTTTTATAGAGTACTTTTTTTATAAGAATTAGAATAATAGACTATTATTCTAAATTATATATATATATATATATATATATATATATATATATATATATATATATATATATATATATATATATATATATATATATATATATATATATATATATATATATATATATATATATATATATATATATATATATATATATATATATATATATATATATATATATATATATATATATTGATCAGTGCATTTTAATGTACCTTCCTCTATGTTTAGACTTAGGCATTTCTACCATTTAGTTTATTTAATTTCCTATTTTATAATGTTTTTACAATTTATTTTATTTTAAGCTTTATTTAATTTTCGTTTGTTATTTTTCAGCATTAATAGCTTTTAGTGAAAAATTCATAACTGGAGCTACAGGAATCGGATTGAGGCATTCTACCAGTCGTTGGAAAGCTAAGAAAGAGATCTACAACTTTCATGTTGTACAAAGGAGCTGATTCGAATTTCTTGAGTCTCGAATAATTCGTTGAAGTTTCTGACTTGTGACAATGTAGTTTTCCTTGCGGGCCTAGTTTAGGTTTCTGGCCCAGTAATTTTCTATTTAAAGTTGTTGTTGTGATGCAAAACAGAGACCTAGTTTATTTTCCGAATTTTTTTCCTTTGTTTTATAGTTTTCATGGAGAACTAATACCTCCGGGCAAATCCTGCTGTGTACGGTTTCAACACTTTGAGGTTATTATTATGTCAATTTACTCTGATTCCTTTCAATCCTTTTCTATGAAGTCACCTGCTTAATTTGATTACAATTGTTTGCTTAATTCAATTGTTGTTCATAGGATAGAATTGGTTAAATTCGATTGTATGCATGTTCCTAAATTTAATTGCGTATTATCGTTTGCTTAATTCGTTAATTCGTCATATTCTTAACCGTTTGCTTAATTCGGTAAACAGGAACATAATTCATTTGATGTTGATAAGCGCTTGTCTGATTAATATCATAATCGAATAGGATTGGTACCGCTTAGGGATTGATGTTATAATAACCGATGATAAGTCGGAACCCGAATCAGTAGGATTAACCGTTTTAGTTTATCTGATAATCACTTTTTTTTAATCACTTTTTTTTTCTTATTTTATAAATCAAAACTTAAAACCCCCATAAACATTTTCTTTAGTTGGTTGAAATAATACAAGAATCCTTGTGAGAACGATATTTCGAGTCATTTGTCGCTATATTACATTTTTATCAAAACTACTCGTTTTTGATCCGCGAACGACCGCGGATCAAATTGGCGCCGTTGCCGGGGATTCTTATTAATTTTAGCCAAATGTAAAATTTTAATTTTAGAGTTTTTGTTTTTTTTGTTTTTTGTTTTTTGTTTTTGTGTGTAAATTTTCAGGGTTGCATATAAGCGTTTCAGCCTATCAGGTGAGTTTGTAAGCTATTGTTCCGATTTGCTCCGAATTTTTTCCAGAAAATCAGAAATAAATCGTTTAACAATACTCATTTAGAATAGAATTCTAAAAGATTTTGACCCTGAAAATCGCAAATTAGTTATTTTTCTATTTTATTTTATTTTTTTTCTATTTTCATATTTTCAAAAAAATCCGAAATTTTTTTTATTGACTCATTTTGATTTTATTTGATTTTTAGTTATATTTTTATAATTTTTAGATTTAATTTTATTCGGTTTTCTATTTTTCCATTCTTTTTCTTAACGGGGACATTGTTGGTATTTTTCTAATTGTTGCTGCATTGCCGAATTTGTTCTTTGTTTTATTTTCTTTGTTGATTTTCCTATTAAATTTAATATGACAAATCAAATAACTCTTAGAGAACTTGTTGCCTATGATACGAACTATAATGCTTTATGTATGGAATATCCTGTTGTTAGTGTACCTTTCGAATTGGAATCTGATTTTTGGAATCTGATTTAATACACTTGTTGCCAAGGCTTAATGAACTTGCAGGTGAGGATCCGAATAAGCATATGAATGAATTCCAAATTGTATGCTCTACACCTTCTGAACCTTCATTAGAGGACCTTGTCAAGCAAATGGCTATAAATGATCTTCAGTTTCAGCAACAAACAGATTCAAGTCTTCAGGCTCTGCAGACACAGATTGAACAGTTTGCCACTATACTGAATGTCATGCAACAAGCTCAAGAATCAAACCAACTATCTGCCCAAACAGTAGTGAGTCCAAAAGAGTTACCATCTGATTGATGATATTCATCCTGAGTTGTTATCTGATTTAAAACACAGTTACTTATCCAATTATAAAACACAGTTACTTATCCAAACAATTTTAAAACACAGTTACTTATCCAAACAATTTCAAAACACAGAAATATAGGACAATTACCAAACAATTATTACCAAGTGCATAACTATATGAAATTTCAGACAATTACCGAGCAAGGACACTTAAGCTTCTTCAAAACACAGTTGCTTATCCAAAAATACTTGTTCAAAAGATTTTAAGATTTTATAATATTTGTTCAAAAGAATTAGCTATTTGATATAATGTTGTTTAAAACTTGATCTATTTGATAGCATAAACTTTTCAAAAATCCTAAATGGTGTGAAGAAATGAACAGACTGAAAACAAATAAGAAAAGTCAATTACCAAGATCCAAATGAAAAGACCATTCTTCTCCATGTTCTTAAGCCATTCCATGTAGAAATAATACATACACAAAATATTAATAGTCTAAATCACATACACAAAACTAGTTAGAAATCACATGCACAAGAAGAATATAATTACCAATATATAATATTAACAGTAGAACAAGATTTGAGCAATCCATAATCATAGATCTGAGAGAGAGTGTGCAAGATCTTACCTTCACAAGGGAGGTGTTAAAACTTAATCATAGATCAGATAGGAATGGAGAGATACGACAACAGATGGCAAGTTTTTCATAGATCAGAGAGGAATGGAGAGATACGGCAACAGATGGCAAGTTTGTGAAAACGGCGATTGACATTAGATTTGTTTTAGGAAAACTTTGAGAACGACAACCCTAATGCAGATGGAATCAAGAAAGATTTGAGAGATAATGAAAGTAGGAAACCCTAATCTAACTTAATGAATATTACTTTGGACCATGAATTGAGGGCAAGTTTGGCCCAAGAAAAATAGAAAATCCAGCTCGCATATGTGTATGTTCGGTCGGATTTGGATTCTGACGGGTCAAATATTACTAACCGAGTCCGACCGAAATCATCCGATGTTGTCCAATTTAATTGACCCGTTTGAATCCATCTCTTAAAATTACCCGACCCGCTGCCCAAAATTCGATTTGGATCGGACGGATTGTCTCGGACGGTGATATTTTGTCCACCCCTGTTAAAAAGTGTGACGTGGATAGTAGAAAAGTGATAATAAAATATTTACTTAATAACTTGTTATTATTAATTTCCACGTAATTTTTTATTATTAACTTTCACATATTATATTTTTTAAAAATTTTATTAAACAAATAATATCGTTTATATTTTTATTCATTCGTATTAAAAAAGCGGACAGGCGGGTACGCGAGTGTCCGTCTGGACGCTAATATAGATAATGATAATTTAAAGATGAATTTAATTAAAATACATTGACAATGTAAAAAAATTATACACGATCGGTTAATCATAACCGTTAAATATTAAAAAAAAATTTAACTTTTATTTTAATTATTAATAAAATAGTGATGAATCAATAATATAAAACGTTTTAGACGGACAATATATAATAATTAATCTGTTAAAAATTTAATTAATAGTTTAATACAATAACAGATGAAACAAGAGAGAAAAAATAGCAGTGTAAAAAGAAAATCTTAATAATTTTATTGTTTATCTGGCTTTGGTTAGGATTGAAGGAAAACGAATCAACGAGAAGGCGAAGTCTGATTTGAGGTAATAACATATCAAAACCCTTCCTCACTCTCATTTCTCAATTTCATTTCCGATTTCATTTCGAAATTTAGGGTTTTCATAACCGATAGAATTTGGGATTTTCATCAGAACAAAAAATGGGATTCATAATGGAATTCGCTGAGAATTTGGTTCTGAAATTGATGGAAGATCCAAAGGAAAGGGATCGTAGATTCAGGGAACACGTCTATAAGGTGAAAGATAGATGCGCAAAGACCAAGGAGATGTGGAGTTACCCTATGCGGCCATACGGGTTCTGGACATTCGAACGCCACAATTCTCAGCTTGCTTGGGATGCACAGATTAGTCAAGTTGCTGGTCGAAGAGATCCTTATGATGATATCCTTCGTCACTACCCCGCCTCATCTAAATGAGGCCACTGTTCTTCAAATCCCTAACATATAGTAATATCAATATGTGAATGCTGAAGTGATAGTACTTTTACATGTTCTTGTCATTCATGATATTCTATGTTTATTTGATTGTTATCTATGATACTGATACTGGCACATATGTTAAAACTTATGATTGAATGTACTGCATAGATAAACACAATACTGACACATAGATAATGATGGTTGTTTATAGGGACATCTATATTCAGGAGTAGGTACCAATATTAATTTAAGAAAACCTAAGGCTATGTTTGGATTGATGGAATGGAGTGGTTTAAATTTATGTTCCATTGTTTGGATTAGTTAAAAAAGAATGTAATGTAGCGGAACATGATGAAATGCATTTCAATCCCATTCCATAGTTTTCCTTCATTTTTTGTACCCTACCCTCCAATTTGAGCGGAATGAGAAAACTGGCTTATTCCATTGTGAAATACACAAACAATGGAATGTCATTTTTATTCCGCTCTGCTCCGTTCCATTCCGCTCTACCCTGTTCGCTTTGCAATATCCAAACATAGCCTAAATGATTGAATGTACTACGTGTGTTTGTCAGCCAACCTTCAACACTTTGGTGCTATATATGTATGTAGTGGTTTAGGTTTCGTTGAAATTGTGGATTTAGTTGATGTCACTTTTATTAGTTATCTGCCATATGAAAAACTTGATCCTTACTGAGGCATGAACAGAATTAATGGAGTGCAGCTTTTATTTCTTAGACTGTGCTTGGGTAAACAGCTTAATAAAGCGCTTATTGTATAAGTCTTTATGTATAGGTTATTTTTATAACAAAAGATAAAGTCAGATGGTTTTCATAGGATATCCTTGGTCATTGGCTGAAAAACATTTATACACATGTTATAAATTATTTATATATGTAATTGCAAATCGTCTCATTACAAGTTAATCCAATCAAACCCTTAAACATGTTTAATTACTTTTACCGCTTTTAATTGTTCCTTCGCTGCACTGCTTGAAAGCAGAAGCTGCCTCTCCTGCTACAATTTTGGGCACCAGCATAGTTTTCTCAATTTATAAATCTCTGTCAATCATACCGTGTTGAAAGTTTGACGAGGATATAATTTTAGTCAGAATTGCAATACTTTTAGTCAGAATTGCAATACTTTTGCTAATTTTAGTCTTTTGTACTCACATTGTGTTTATTTTTTATTGCAGTGGTGCTGAACTTTGTTTCAACTCACAAGCTTTTCTTTTTTGCTTTTCTTTTTGAATTCTACTTTTAATACTACTTTTCTTTTTGAATTCTACTTTTAATACTACTTTTCTTTTAATAATACTGGTTTTTTTTTGTATTGTTGCTCTACCGGAAGTATGCTTTTGTTAGTGCATGTTATCCAATACAGGTATAATATATTATGTTTACTTGAACCCAATTTGATTTAATTAAACTGTACTATGCAATATAGTTAAGAGATTTATTCTTATTATTATAAAGTGAAGAGAAATAGTAGCAAAATTTTAAAACTCTTTCATGAATTGTTTTCATTTCCAAGTAAAATTCAATAGTTTCATTGTTGCTCCATCAAATAACAAATCGTATTGATGATTAAATTAATCGATCAAACGATACAATTGTTACAAACGTGTGAGGCTATTTCTCATAAGGTGTATAGTGGTTTCACCATCAATAGCAAGAAAGTTAAGAACACCGTATCAACTCTTAAATGTAATGGTCGAGGTGAGATTATTGCTTTCGATAGAAACTCAAAAAATAGATAAATGAAAAATGTATTACGAGATTATTGCTCTCGATAGAAACTCAAAAAATAAATAAATGAAAAATGTATTATTGATCGAAATAAAAACTATTACAGAGACGAATCCTTATAATCCCAATGTAAAGTGTTTTTCAGAAAATACACATAATGCATTCTCCCTTGTTTTTCGGAAAATACACATAATGAATTCTTCCTTGTTATCAGTGTCCTTATAAAACTATCTTTTTTTCTTCTAACATAAGTAGTTATAACCAATTCTCTATTAGACCTCTTTATTTGGCTTGGCTAAGGCCTTGTCCTTAAGACTGAGATAAAAAAAAGTTGCTTGAATAAATTTGATCATTTCTAGCTACTTGTGCAACCCTGGCACGAGCAGCTTCCAAGTCACCAAAGGCTTGTGTATGAACAATTTTAACAAGACAACTATTGTTACAGTGGATAGAAAGGGAGTAAATAGGACAATAGATAAGTGCCATTGTAATACAAACTCTTGAATCTTGAAAGAAACCTCTGATAATCGCACCATGACAAAGGAAGTGCAGACAATGTCTAGGTTCAAATCATGGAGCATCTGGATCATGAAAAAAATCAATATATTCATCCTAGAGAAATAACATCTATTTAGTTGATATTACTTTATCATATAATATACACTGTACTGGTAAAAAATCTTTTGTTTACGTATAGATATTTGTTTACCGACATACTAAAAGTTTAAGGAAAGTAAAAAAAAGCAAAACCTTAAACTTAAACTTTTTAATCTGGTCTAAAATTATTAAAACAAATACTATTGAATGTAATTTATGAGTTCTTATTGAATATATAATTCTTTTCACAATTGTGGGTCTACGAGAATATCACACTATCTTTTAAATCGACCAACATCCTTTTGAAATATATATATATATATATATATATATATATATATATATATATATATATATATATATATATATATATATATATATATATATATATATATATATATATATATATATATATATATATATATATATATATATATATATATATATATATATATATATATATATATATATATATATATATATATATATATATATATATATATATATATATATATATATATATATATATATATATATATATATATATATATATATATATATATATATATATATATATATATATATATATATATATATATATATATATATATATAGAGAGAGAGAGAGAGAGAGAGAGAGAGAGAGAGAGAGAGAGAGAGAGAGAGAGAGAGAGAGAGAGAGAGAGAGAGAGAGAGAGAGAGAGGTCTTCTCTGCATAAAACAAATTAGACAATCTAAACTCACTCTACCTATCTTTGGCTTTACATAATAATTTTAAGGCCTTTCAGCAAACTCAATAAACCATGTCTCTGTTATTGTTATTATTCTGCTGAACATGGCATGTAAAACCATATGTATGCATTGCACAGAAATGTTTTTAAATTAAGGCAAAAGCATAAGCATTGTTACACATTCATATCATTATTGAAATGTATAAACTCCGATAGTAGATATGGTATAAACTAGAGGTGGTAATGAAATCCATTTAGATAATATTCATCTAATCCATTCAATTCACCCCTAAGACAAAAAATAATTTAATGGATTTGATCCAATCCATCCACTAACTCATATGGATGGATTCAATCCATCCATCTCATTTTATAAATCCATTGGATATTATGTTGTCACTTATTAAATTAAGAATTTTTAAATTAATTTTTTGGATGGATGGATATCCATCCATTTGAAATATGTTAATTGATGGATTTTATCTTTTAATTGATTGATTAGATTGGATTTTTATTAAGAGAGTTTAGTGAATTGTTAATGGATTAATTTGTTGTGAATCAGATACCTTTAAACAAAATATAAACGGTTTCTTTGTAATCAAGAAACACACAAGGGTTAGGGTTAATAAAGAAGACAAGGTAAAATAACAAGGAACAACAAGGATTGGATATTAAACTGCTATTCTTTCCTTTCTCTTAGAACAAGATTACAAGTATACAAGAATAACAAAATAATCTCTTCCTTTGAAATTAGGATTTTATCTTCCTATTTTTCCTTATGTCAAGATTGAGAAACTAGCATCTGTTGCACCCTAATTTTGGACCATAAGATGCCACCTCTTTTTTTGTTTTATCGTTATTGGACTTTATTTAATATTTATGCAACTAACCAATTTGTGCAGACGCGGTAATATCAAGGGGAGATAACACCCATTAATCTAATCCTTCCAGACAAGGTTATTTGGTCCTTATTCAAATTGATCCTGAGGCTAAGAGTTCTTTTCAAAAATAACCAAATTTGAACAATGGAAGATAAAACATACGGAAATACTTAACAAGTTTGGTCAGCGTTTATGGAATATCACCAACTCAAGACTTCTTAATTGGTTGCAACAACACCTTTATTTTCCAACACAAAGGCTTCGCAGGTTATTGGAGATAAAAATCATTTGTGACTAGCGGACAATTAACGGCTAATAACAGTATATAAAGTGGTGGACGATATCATATAACTATCATTAATGCTACTTGGAGGTTAAATACATGAAGAGAAACTTTTCAGAAACATGCTTTGTGAAGAGCATTCACCAATTCACTTTGGGTGGAGACTTGATCCAATTCCAAATTCTTAAGAATCTAAGGATACAAGTTGGCATTACATAAATAAGCAAAATCACATTACACCAGGCCAAGTTACAGGAAAGGTTGCTTATATCGTAACCTACATTGAGGACACATCATATATGTTTTCAAGCAATGACAAATGTTGGACTCAACCAATTCATCACGTATAAGAGCAGGAATAAGCCCTTTAAGTATGCATTACAAGTTGCTAGGCACTTCAAAATGTTATAGAGAATGGATTACAAGAATGTTCCAAATGATAAAAAAACTACAAGTTACAACGGTATATCAGCACCAAATCCCATATTGCATTGCTCAAGGAGGTGCACTGAACTCCAACAGTACTTGCCCCGAGATTCTATCACGCTGTCAAAACCCAGCAGCAACAGTTTTCGCACGAGCAGCATCACAGTACCACCATGGATCTTGTTAAGCCAAAATCCCCTTATGCTGCACCATTGAGGAACCGTAGGAGAATCTAAACCTACAACAAGCATAATGCCAGGGTGTGATGCAATCTTGAATTACTTCGTGATAACACCGGCATACCAAGACAGTGACATACTCAGCATGGGATGA